CTGCAAATTAATCCCTTCCGCTCGTATTATTCCGATCGCGTTAACGACACTACTGTGAATTGACACGTATCGACGCTATCACGCTCAATTAAATGATATACGCTCGTTGCCGAATTCTGATTAAATACCTAGATTCAATATTATATTGTGTTATTATGTGTCACCGATTTATCTTTATGTCAGCTCGAATATGTCTCGTAAAATTGCAATATCGTTTCGCAAACAGCAAATTGCAAATTTCTGCTATTGTTTATCCAAGGCTAGATCACGCATTTGCTGGATTATTTTATAATTATCGCATTTTTTATCTTTAAGTCTGTACATCCGATTCGAAACGCGAAAGTTAAGCCGTGTTACACGTTCTCTGTAAAGTTTTTTAAAACAAAAAGAAAAATAGACTATATTTTCTATTTAAAAAATGTATAATAAAAGCGTTTAAAACATTTTTTTGTGTACGTTACACATGTTGGCGTCGAGTGTTTTTCCAACTCATAAAAGTTATATACAAATAAAATATGCATGTAAAAAAAAGAATACATATGTCTCTTATTTTACTATCCAATGTTTCCAAAAATCGTCTGTTTTCTCGTAAGTGCGTCTGCGTTTTAAAAAACAGGCCGCTGTACCGGGCCATTCATAGGCGAACGAAAGAGAAAATCGATACTAACACTCGCGTGACCGGACCGCGAATGGGTTCGATAGCTTCGTAACTTCGTTAAAATAATATTTGCGTACCGGCGCAATCCGTGTCGTACAATGCAGGAGTGGTCTCCCGTGACAGAGAACGACGACGAGCAGCTCGTTAGCTTCGGGCGTTTCGCACCCGCGGGAGTTACCGCCGCGCATTTCGAGCCCCGTCACCCGCAAATGGAAAAGCAATCAGCGTTGTCTTCAATACGTCAAAAGAATCGAGACATATGGAGCCCGGAAACCGTGGGGGACCTATATTTGACGCTTTTAAAAATCATTGTCGCGCACTCGTGCGCACGAGGCCAAAACAAACCGAGAAAACGCTAAGGACGTTAAAGAAATATCATTAGTGGATTATTCCCTTTTCGACATGTTTCTTTTGCTCTCGTTTCATTTCTTTCTCTCTCAATATGACTCGCACTTCTTCGCGGGGAACTCATTGCACAAAGTGTAATCAGAAAAAGGAGTATGTGTGTGTTTTCTTGCGAGTGCTGTATAAAATGTTTGTCATTTTACGCTGCCCGTAAGACGTGTGTAATCCATTAGGAGCGGCGTTAAAACTGTAGCCAACAACAATGTATCGTACGTCTGAAACTTTGTGCGGCGTACCACCACCACCACCTTCTCCTCCTCTCTCTTTCTCTTACATCTCCTCGTTTTTCGTGACACCAAACAGATCTGTAAACCAGGGCACGATGCACTCTGATTTCATAGGATGCAATCCCGGTGTCGGCAACGCGCGGGCAACGCACTCTCTCGCAGCTAGCACGGGAATGCTTTTTGCATTTTCCGAAATTAACGCCCGGCGCACGAACAAAACACGATTCGAGAGCGCGCAATGTCCAGGAGTAACATGATTTTTGGCGCTAACGCGATTTGCGCATTCGCCAAGCCGCTCAGTGCAATGCGACACAAAATCACGCGTGATTAACGTGTCGTCCCTTTTGTCTAACGTATTAAAAAAAGTCTGTAAATGTGACGCGTCAAATTTGCGATGGAATCAGCGGAGTTTGTAACGGACGATGAAAAAGGATGATGAAAAATTCCCTGGACTTGCGACGCTCATGTAAGATTGCATGTGTAGCATTTCATATTTCATGTCTTCATCTATGATGCGCGGCATTAGGGATAGATTACGTATTTGCCTCAATTGCTGTAATCAGTCAGCACAACGTTTTCTATTTCGCCTGATATAATTTATCGCCCCAATAATAAATGCCGAATAACGTGCAATTCGATTGTGTTCGTACCAGACGGAAGTCATGAAATTTAATTTAACGATTTTGTTTAGAAATATATTACAATTTCAGACGCTTTATTATACAGCTGTCTTTTCATTGGTCTCCATAATTTGTTCTGAGAGTAACTATTTTGATGTTACATTATAAGTAATAGTATTGTACTTATACCGAGGGCTTTAAATAATATCTTGTATTATTTCCCAATATTTCGATATTTTTCTCTATATCTAGGATTAATATGCAACTGTTTCTCGAGAGAAAAGGATTACGATAAAAATAACTTACACTCAAAATAATCACTTGAATCGAATCGGAAGAAAAAACCCAATTGTCGTGTTTCTAGTATTAATTTTCTTGCTCCGGAATATCCGTTCTCGCTCGGCTTCGGTGATGGATTAAAAATTTAATATCCTGTTTCGCAAGTTATTCGCGCGAGCCCACGAGGCGAGCAACGTACGGATCGAGGCTTCTCGGGGGAAAAAGGCTATTTTCACAGAGCACCGAAATGTTACATCCTAATTCCGTTTTATGTCCTTTATGCACTTTTTTCATCCTCGAACGTCTCTTCTTTACGCCCTCGCCCAACAGGCATCCGTATAAGCACTCTAATAGATTCTCGAGTATAAAGATAAATCGTAGTGTAGTTATATTTTACAATTTTCGTAGTAAAAATTTATTAGGTACGTATCTTGTTGTAGAGCTAGAGTTTAGAATAAAGAATAACACAAATTTCTGTACTTATACTCAAATAGATTCTAGTTTCCAACAAAAATAATCTCAACACGCTTTATTAAATAAGGTTAAATATGAAACATTTTGAAAAGTGATCATAAATTTATCTGGAAAATCCGATAATATTGGATACTCTAGTTTGATCATTCAATTTAGAGGATAATGAGGATATCGATTTATTTTAATTGCAACACTCTGTATACTGCTTTCACAGATGTATTTTATCCTTTGTCATTCTCTCTCTCTCTCTCTCTCTCTCTCTCTTTTTCTCTCTATCTCTGTATCTATCTCTCTATATTTGTCTCTATCTTGTAGGACACATTCTCTGGCAATGGTCAATCCGCGCAAGCATGTACATACATATGTGCTCGTGAAACATCGTATATGCGATCGAGCGTTCAATGGAATCGCACAGACTGGCCGCGCGTTATCCACTTTAGCGGATAGCGGCGCGGAGCGGATCCTAAATTGAAGTTTCGAATTAAACCGTCCGGATGATCCGTCTCATCTGCCGGAGTCGCTTTAAGGCTCGCGCGCGCAATTTTGTTGCTGGCAAACATGTCGCCGCCGTGGAGACTAGCCGACTTTAATGTGAAATTATGGTCCCCCGGAATTAATTTGTCGATTCGGGTACCGCCTCGGGGAGCGAGGCGACGCGACGAAGCGGAGGTGTCGAAAAGAGGATAAACATGGTGATGAATATCTAAATTACTCATTACTGAACTTGTCCGTTACTCGAGTCGCTTGATTAAACATGAATAAAAGTATAACGATGAATTAAACCGGTTGGTGGTTCGGTAAAGTGATAATTGACAACAGACAGCATGTTGCAAGAATTAATTGTTAAACATGGTTAATTAAATTACAGTGAAAATGATCTATATTGCGCTAATTAAGATTGATAAAACAATTCATATCTGAAAAGACACAGTCTTAATCTCATCTTATATTTGCGCACGTGAGAAATACGCGAGGATCATGTATTTTTACTCGCAATACGCAGAGTGTCACGTTTTGTTTCATCTCGAAAACCCCGTATCCGACTCGCTTCGGGGATTAATAAATCGCAGTCACATGTTCACCGGTCATCTTCCTATCCAGCGGGGATGTCTCGCACACGGCGGCGGCGACGCGACGGTGCAAATTTTTCGCGATCTCGTTTGACGCGCGACGGCGCGAAAAAGTGCATTCGCGCACCTATGCGCCGAGGTAACTGCATTCAACGCACGTCCCGCGAGTTTATCTCGGCAAAGAGGGGCTGACATATTGGGATCGTTCTGGTCGTCTGGCCGCGTTTATGTACCCTCTCTGCGTGCCAGCTCAGTGCCTCAAATGGGATCGTCCTTTTAGTTCTTTCTCTATCCTCTTTTTTTTTCTTCTGCTTAAGCGCAACTTCTGGCGGTTAGGCTAGTTCTTAAATCCACGAATATTATCATTTCAATCTTTTTCATCTATTTTTATTATTATATGATCATAACAGGTAATAGTAGCAATATAAAAGTAACATAAAAGTAGCAATAAATTAAAGCAAATATAAAATTTCAGTATTTTTCAGGCATTGTATTGTATTTTCATATCTGCTTTATATTACGATTAATAAAAATGAAAAAATATTTTACATGTATATTAGCCAATTATTTTAATATTGGGCATAAAAATAGTTTTTAAAGCAAATTTTAATAATTTGGCCTAAATATTGTGCTTCCGGAATGTCTGGTTGATTGTCTTATATAAAATTGATCATCTAGGATTGTGTGCGTGAAACTATTGAATGCATGTGCAAACAGTGATAAGCAACCAATATTTACTGATAACTTATTGCATCGATCGAATGGCCAATATTGAAACTAATGCGACGTGTTATCTGTCGTTAACCATATTGAATGAAATTTTGTAGAACAAATCGATGAGAGCGCGTTAGCACGCAAAAACATCGGTTTACTGAAGCAGTTTGAAACGATATTGCTGAATTCAATATTACATTGAAAAAAATATGTCTTGCGATAACGGGAATGCTAGTTTGGCCATTTGTTCGATTACAATATATTGTTAATCCAACGACCAAATTGCAGATTTTTTTATAAATTTTAATCTGGCAAACCTGTTTTTATTTTTACACGCGATCCATAATTGTTTGTGTTTATTATTATCTGTACTTAATAAATTTTTATTGCAAGATTATAGAATAGCATTACATTAAGCTAACACAATACAGATACCGTTAGATAGAGTCTTATTATCCATTCATTAATCTTAATTTACATCTAAACCATATTCATACGTTTATCTACGATATCTAGGCAACTATTATAATTATGCTGTTTTCTCGTTATACAGGTGTAGGATGAAACAATGGAGACAGGATTTGCCACCGACTTCCGTTATAATTACTTTCCACAATGAGGCACGGTCTACGCTACTCAGAACTGTCGTCAGGTAAATTAGAAATAGTTTGACTTTACATAAAATGCAAAACAATTATGATTAATATTTAAATCTATCATTTTTCAAGGTTTTTCTTAAGCATTTTATATATAAATAAATAGATTTATATATATAGAAAACTATTATATAAAGAATATATATATAAATAATTTTGTATATAAATAGACAAAGAGATTGTACATTTATTTCTTTTGTCTCAAATTATAAAAGTATAAAATAAAAAAAGAAGAAATATGTATAAAAAAAAAGAATTAGTAAATTTCGCAAAAGTGTATTAAATATGCAGGTATTCGTGCAATCAAATTCTCAAACGCAAAGTAATTGCCAATGGGCAAATTCTCACGCGATCGTAGATAGTATATGTGCACCACGGCGATCTTCAATTCTCGATGCATCAACGGGTTGCGAGAAGCGCGAGAGGATTCTCAATTCGAGCCGGAAGTGGGCGATAGCGATGGAAAGCATGCAATGGAATTTTCTAATCGTCGTTCCATCGTTTTATTCCTCGAACTTATTATGCGCTCGTACACGCGGACGTGACGAACCGAAGAATTCGAGAATCGAGAAATATCTTCAATATATAAACGATAATCAGATATGTGAAGAAAATTATATTGTTTTATTTATTGAAATGAAGAATATAAAGAAATATCAAAATCTTTATTCTGATTGATAATGTAAAACGTTATCGGCGTAATGATGACTCAATTAATTTGATTTGAGTAATAGATTTTTGATCTGACAAAATTACATATGAGACTTAATTTCAATTTATAATGGATATTTTTTTTAAACGTCTCGCATTTTTTTTTACGTAATAATGAATAAGCAAAGTGCAAAAAGGAATAGTAAATTGTTCTAGAGGTCTATGGCTTTACTAGTTTTCACTCAGCTATGTGTGGATCTTCCAACTTTGCTTCTTCAATTTTGCCAATTAAAAATTTTTTTTCACTGCTGCTTGCTTTGCTTTTACTGATTTTGTCCATTTTACCGGTATCATTTATCGTCTATCCGGAGACATAAATCATTACATTTTCTCATAAAGCGTCCTCGTATTAATTAAAGCATTTTTTACTACGCGACGTCATGCCGAGGAAAGGAAAGTACGAGGATCCACATTACTCGCCGGAGGTAGCCTCCGTGCAAAAGTTGCTCGAAGTTCTCTCGTCGAACCGGAAGAAGGAAGCAGGCAAGAGTCGGAAAATTTATTTAACTCCGTAACATGGCGGCGCGGCGTCAGGAAAATATATCGGGCCGTATCACGTCGACTCGATGAAATTAAAAGGAAGTCTTAATTACCACGACGAGACCGCACTTCACCACCATCTTGATGTGGAGCGTGAAATTCTTCGCGATTTTAAATCTTGTTTTTTTTTCCCCAAAAGTTAAAATGATATCTTAACAGTTAACGATATCTTAACCAACGGAGAAGAAATTTATAAAACAAAATATTTTATCGATACGATTATTGATAAAATATAGTTGACATTCAGGATTTTAATTTAAGAAATGACCGTAAAGGTGAACTTTTTCCCTCAATATGAGATAGTTTTAATTAGTGGAGAGAGCCCTAATTATTTGCTATAATCCTTTTAAACTAAACTCACGAGAATAATGGAACGGGGCAATACGAGAACGTTCAAACAAGGGACAAGTGATGCACAAAGTCCTTGAAACTTTGATAAAAGATTCAATAGGACAATCCCCGAAGCTTCTGTTCTTCTCTTAATCTCAGTTTATTCGACATTAATCGACTGGAAAAGTTTATATAGAAATGAATGATAGGATTCAGGCGTATTGAGCTTTTAAATTGAATAGAGAGAAAGAAAAGAAGTATTACATTAAAAAATGATCTTACGTCAATAGTAATATTTAAAATATTACCCTAATTAATAGTAAGATGCATGTAATAAATAACTAATGAAGTAGAAATAAAAAAATTAATACAGTATAATTCTATCGATGTATAATTGTTACCCTTTATTTAATTTATAATGTATAAAATTTCTGAAGTTATAAAATAATAAAAATAATATAGTAAATAGTAAAAGAATAGCAGTGTTATTAAATATGTGAGAAGATTAATATTTAACTTTAAATTAAAAGTTTTTGCTTTGCTTTTAGTGTTCTGAACAGAAGTCCCGAACATCTAATCAAGGAAATTATTTTGGTGGACGATTTTAGCGACCATCGTAAGTAGTTTTATGTACTAGTTTATATATTGGTTCGAATTTTCGAAAAACGTAATATTACTTTCCGTCCAAGAAATTTAAAATTCTACTTTTTAGTCAATTTATAATGCATAAAAAATATAATATAAAATAATCTGTAATAAAATCTGATATATCTATATTATAGAATTAGGAATGATGAATTACTCGCGGGGATCAAGCCGCTACGAGGAGAATACTGCATATAATATTTAATGGAATTTAGTGTAATTAAAATGCTAATTATATGTATATTCAATTACGGAAAATTGTGTTTAATGTTACATTTAATATTGCGTTTAATACTATTAAAAGGTTGATGACCCACGGCTAGTTCGTCATTTATGACGTTATTTACCGCTCAGAATGGCATTAAATTATAATCTTGAAATTTGAACTTATACACTCAATCTGGAGTTTATATTTTCTTAACAAGAATTATTAGGGTGCCTTGATTGAATGGATATATAATATTGAAGATATAGTAAATTACAAATAGAATTTTTAACGCAGTAAATGTAATGTCTCGCAATGGAGTATTTAAAATAAAATAAGTTTAATCGACGTAAAATTAACCCTATTCACTCCAACGTTTTTTCCGCCCCTTTAATCCTCCAACCATGCACTTTGGAGTCCCACGTGTTTTTTTTATAATGTTATTTGAAAAATTCTCCAAAAATTATTATAATATCTGTGTACCTTCGACTAAAAATCAATGTAAATAACATTTGGAAATCATTTATTTAAATATTTTTTTACAAGTGTTAGAAACTCCGCCTTTTTACGAGTGTTAGAAACTCGTGGGACACGAAAGGGCATATTTGGAGTGAATAGGGTTAAAAATGTTGTGTGGCAAGGAAGATTGATTTGTTTGCAGCCGAGGACGGCGAGGAGTTATCGCGAATCCACAAAGTTCGTGTGATCAGAAACGAGAAGAGAGAGGGCCTAATGAGATCGCGTGTCCGCGGCGCGGATGCAGCTACCGCGAGTGTGCTAACGTTTTTAGATTCGCACTGCGAGTGCAACGCCGACTGGCTCGAACCACTCTTGGAAAGGGTAGCCGAGGATCCGTCGAGAGTGGTGTGTCCTGTGATCGATGTAATCAGTATGGATACTTTTCAATATATCGGTGAGTGTCAATGACAAAAATCGATATTCTTTAAAATTGCATGTCTTTAGTAAAAATCTATATTCTATCTTTTAGATGAATTTCTAGGCAAACCTTTATAACTAAAATAGTAAGATGTTTTGTAGAATAGCTACATTATTACTTTTATGACTAAGATTACACTTGAAAAGGGAATAAAATGGTCGAAACGTTGTGAAGATTACGATTTAATAAATATGGCCAGTTGAGTCGAACTAAGCAATCATTTTTGTTAGTTATTACTGACGAAGGACAGGATTATATTTCGGTCTATTATTCTATGGTGTAAATAATTTCAAATATATAAGCGACTCGAGACAATATTATCTCGTTTCTAGGAGCTTCCGCCGATCTCCGAGGTGGTTTCGATTGGAGTTTGGTCTTTAAATGGGAATATCTCAGCCAGGCGGAACGACAAGCGAGACAAAAGGATCCGACACAAGCCATTAGGACCCCTATGATTGCTGGCGGACTGTTTGTCATCAACAAAGCGTATTTCGAGAAACTCGGCAAATACGATACTCAGATGGATGTTTGGGGCGGCGAAAATCTCGGTAAATATTTACAGTTTTATGTACAGAGTACAAAATATTCAGAAAGTTCAAAGAGCTAAACGCATATTCTTATAATTAAATTCTTTCAACCGCGTTTTTCTCTTCTACGGAATATTCAAAAATATTTTAGTAGAATATTTTTACTGAGGCACTGTTTATATTGATATTTATTCTCTAGAGATAACGTTCGGAGCTATTTTATTTTAACGAATATGTAAATACGCTACGAAAGATATTGCACATGGTCGATGTACTTCGCTGCAAAAACTTTGTTGCGAGGCACGCGCAAACTCACGATGAGTATTTTGCAGCAGAGTAAACTTTTTATTGGATCAATATAGTCGAAAGTTATAATTTCTCAACAAGTTTTAATGAGCGTTTCCCATTAAATTTTATTAAAAAGCATCATACTGGCGTAAATATTAGCTCATTCATCACTATATCTGACGGCTCGGCTGCGTAAATAAATGCTTGAAAGCAACTCTCGAAAATTCGCAGAGAATTGCGATCGCTTACAATTCCTTTTCATTGCACGCAATAAAAATTTTTTTATTTTGTTTTTTTTTTATCATAAAACAATCAATCAAAAAATGAATTTATTAATATTATTAATTAAACTTCAATTTAAACAAAGTTTGTGCTGAAATATGTTTAATTAAAAGCGTAATACAAAATTAGTGTCGCAGAACTCGTGACTTAAAGTTGTGAGAAAAGTGCCGTGTCTGTCATTACACTTTTCAAATACGAAGGAAACGAACTCTTTGACAGAAACTACCATCTCGTGTGCAGTTCGTAAGAACTTTGTGGAAAACACGGCAAGGCAAACCAATATATGTCGGAAGTGTGAAGTTAGAAATAACTGCGCCCCCTTTTCCCCCCTATTTCGGACAGAAATTGTGGAGTTTCTTTGAAAAAGTCTTAACGCTATTTCAGTTTAGCATAACTTTGATGAAAGATTTACATTAGAAGTAGTATTTTTCCAATAGCTAACAAAACTTTGCAAATATATATAAAATGTAAATCCCGTTCTCTTATATATAAATGATTGACAGAGATTCTTTCAACGTCCTTTTTAATTTGCAACATAAAATATCCCAAGAAAATAACGAGTAATATGACACAATATGATAGAGAAGGGAGTCCATGCTTAACATTAGCACTTACCGCGTGCACTTGTAACTTTCTTTCAGAAATATCGTTTCGCGTGTGGCAATGCGGTGGCAGCTTGGAGATTATCCCGTGCTCACGTGTGGGCCATGTATTTCGCAAACGTCATCCTTACTCGTTCCCCGGAGGCAGCGGAAACGTGTTTGCTCGAAACACGAGGCGCGCCGCCGAAGTATGGATGGACGACTACAAACAGTTCTACTACAATGCCGTGCCGTTAGCACGAAACATCCCTTATGGAAAGTAAGCCTGGATGCGCGCTGACATCTCAATTAAACTTTAGGGCAATATCCTGATTTCGCTATATTTCATCCTATTGTCTTAACACCGCATTAAAGTTTGTGATATATCGAACAATCTCTTGAATATCTATATTACAAATTATGAAATCTTTATATCAAGTTGCGGCTTCAGTATATATTTTGATATTGTTAGGCATATAAATAGACAATTAGAGCGTTTGACAGGATTTGAAGGATACCCTGATAGCAAAACATGAGTGTGCAAAATCATGCAAACGTGTTGCTAAAAACAATTTACGTATTGTTGCCGCACAAACATTACGTAAACATGAATCTTAAATCGTCTAAGATTCATACTTATGGTGCTTTTACAGCAAAGATATGTAAATTGTTTCTATCAATAATATGTAAACTGTTGCTGGAAAAATGTAACGAATATTGAATAAACCCCGTTGCTTGAAACAAATTCAATACTATTGCTGAGCATTTGCGAACGCAGCTTTACATGTTATTTGCGTAAATGCTCGTCACGAGTTTACTGACATATTTCGTAAATATAACAGACGTTTTGCTATCTACAATTAAAATTCAGTTATATTAATTCTGCGAATAATTATGCGTTTCAGCATCCAAGATAGGATGGAGCTAAAACGGAGATTGCATTGCAAGCCTTTCAGTTGGTATTTGAAGAACGTATACCCCGAATTAGTCATACCCACGAGCGAGGGTGGTCCAGGAGGATCTCTGAAGCAGGGCACCGCCTGCTTGGACAGCATGGGCCATCTTCTCGACGGAAACGTCGGTCTCTATCCTTGTCACGACACTGGTGGTAACCAGGTAAGCGTTCTTAAAATGTATACGTTTTTTCGGTACCTTCTAAGTATATAACGTATAACGTGGGTCTGTCACATTCAACGCTGTTTTTCCCTACCTTAAAGTATTTTTAAAAATATAAAAAAAATTCATGAAACATTCTGTCTACATTGTAGTCGATTTTATAGCCATTTTGATAATCGTTTATTTAATATCTTCTAACAGGCTTGCAAGTTTTACAGTTACGAACAGATATCGCTTTGGCTCGGACGCCATAGACCCACATGTACACGTTAAGGGTTAAAGCAGAGTAAATGAGGAATTACGTAATTGTCTGGGAATTTTACAAGACCAAATACGTTTTGCAGGAATGGGGCCTCACGAAGGACGGCCTGATCAAGCATCACGATCTTTGCCTGACCCTGCCAGTATACGCCAAAGGTACTACGCTGCTGATGCAGATCTGCGACGGCAGCGAGAATCAGAAGTGGCGGCACTTGGAGGGTGGCCTGATACGGCACACCAGAATCCCCGTGTGCGTGGACTCGCGATATCACGCGCAGCGCGGCATCACGGCGGAGAAGTGCGACTCGAGTGCGGAGACGCAGAGGTGGCATCTCTACAACCACAATCACTAGCTGATATGGTTGCGGTGAACACGCCATTCACCCGCGGATGACTCTTTCTTATCGCTACGCGCCACGACGTGATCACCGTATAACAAGGCCGATCGCGTCAGAGGTGCGTTACTTAATTAGGGACTGGCTGTCTACGCGCGACCGGATCGATCGATTCGAGCGTGGACCGACGTTATCTTCGTGACCGTGGCTCTTCACGATCTCCTATCACGATATCGATGAAGAACCTCATTTTGTACTACGCTGACTTGCGAGTTCGCGAGTTCCCGATGTAGCCTGTCTTATAAAGAATCGGATGATGATATATCTGGTTAAAAGAAATCTAATGAATTCTCTCTAATGATATTACGAAAAGTGTTACACGCATCTCACACTAAAACGGAATAATATCGCAAAAGAAAGTGAAAAATGTTTTAAGACTGCTTAGCGTTTGTGACTCTGAATCAAACAAACTTCAGTTTCTATATCCTTAAGAATTCCATTACTTCCGATCGTTTTCTTAGGCACTAGATCATCCTACTTTTACAATGACAAAAGATTAACCTGATGGGTTGACATCTCGCAATCGATGTGATAAGTGTAAAATTATTTATAATAAAATATATAAAAATTATAGAAGCGTGTGTATGAGCCAGCGATGCAAGTGGAAGTTGTATACTGATTTAGTACTGCGATCTGATTATGCACGCTGATTATATTTCAAAATATCGAATCCACAAATAGCGATACTTCATACAACTGATGATGCAATTGATTCAAACAAGTAAAAATCATATTGTTGAAAGCCATTCTTAACACTTAATACTTAATTACTACTTTTAGCTTCAAAGAAATCCATAGGGCACGAAAATCTCTAGTTTTCGAGGTTTATGATGTTATTGAAAAATTGAGGTTGTGTATTAACAAAGAAATAATTGCGACGAAATATCCATGTACTTTATAATTACCAGACTTATTCCTCCGAGAGATGTATTATTTAAAGGATTTAAAGAAGTTTTATAAAATATGTTGCATGCGAGCGACTAACTCTTCAATTCACAATGTTGTCTCAAAATTATACATATACAAGATATAACCATAAACACTTATACAGAATTTTTTTTGAAACTTTCATTAATAAAATTTATATAAAATTCAATTTATATGAATTTAAACTGACATTGGAAATTGAAGAGTCAGATTGAAACCAAATCTATGCGGTAATAATGCTTTTAATGGAACATAACTAATCAAACTTAATCATTGCTAACAGATTGATAAAGAAATAATACAAAGTTGAATTATTCTTTTTCTTTTTTTGTGCAATTAAAAAGTTGACAAAACGAAGAAATTGATTAGAAGTCCGGGAATTATAATTATGGCAGTTAATCGGTTTTACGGCGTAACCTTAGCTGACGATGCGTTTATTTACGTATGTTTCTAGTAAATCCATAAAAAAATATTTAATGAAGGCGATATCGAGTCATTTTTTAAAACGGGTAACGTACGTGCTTGAGTGTCCAATTGCGACGGGCAACTTATCTTTTTTTATGTATTTATTTACGTGTGATTTTTTTAAATAAATACGCCAAAGCTTTTACACTTGGCACTATTTGTTTAAAGTAATCGATAGTTTTATCACAAATACCATTTTGAGATTACGCTTTTATGCAAACAACTGCGGAGAAGCTTTTCGCTGTTTATTCGAGATAAGAACGTACGCAGAATCTTTTATAATTATATTATGTTATCACAATGTACACTGACCGGCAGAAATGCCCGGACATTTTGATATGTATATGACATATATGCACATGTATAATATGTATTATGTCCAGGCATTCTTGCCGGTAGAGTGTACATCACGTAATTTAAATATTCAATTTTCAATGAAGTATGTATAATTTCCACATCATTTTAGGAAATTTGAAAGACGCTCTGCACTTTGTATACTGAAATATAGACGCAAGAAGCTTATCAGCGACTCTGAAATCGCTATTTTTACCGGGCCCAAAATCATACTAGATTCGTACAATGCGTATTCTTTTTATCTGGTCTTAGTATATGCGGCGCATCCAGATCCGCGGACATTTTTCTCTCCAATCAAAGAACAAATCGCGGAGAACAATATGCGTTCCCTTCAAAAGCATGCACTACGATTTGCAGAAAAGAAATTTATTTTTGTAACTAATTGTATACTTACTTGGTTGTGCGAATAAACGAAAAGCGCAGGGTGTATGAGCATACTTAACATATTGTAGCTTGGTAATAACATTCCAAAAAATTTGCATTTCTACTTTTCGAAAACAAGTATTACTTCTCTCAAGTTTTTCAATTTCTTTTTAGCTTTTCCCGTTAGAACGTTGTAACGCTTATTTTAATAATGGCCATTATATATATATATATATATAAGAAGTTCGATTTCCGTAAAAACTAAATTATGTGAAAATAAGAATTCTCAAGAGCGTCAAACCAAATCGAAAATAAAACGGCAGCGCCGTGTGGATTCATTACTCGCCTACAACGTGTTAAGTGAAAATCAAGATAGCTAACGCAGCTAAATATAGCAATACATATTAGCAGACGCGATCTTTTGTACACTTATACTTTCCGATGATAATGTCTTACTGCCGTCTCTTCGCGCTGGGACTATAAATACCGCGAAGTGAGATGAATAATATACGTATAATATAATATCGTATAAACTTTTGTATGATACGCACGGGCATCCATATTACATCCACGCCAGCTGCTGTAGTAATTATCCGTTAAGAAAAATTCTTTTGATATCGATATTGTATACGTAGAACGATAACAATTTAATGTAGATATAATATATACGCGATCGATGAAATTGGCCGTGCCCTAATTAAACGAATGCGATATTACGAATAATCTCGAATTGCTTCTGAAAATCAAAATATCAAGAAAATGTCCGAGTTTTATTACCGTTGCGAAAAGAGCGTTGTTTTTAGAGTGTTTTCCTTTAATCAGAGCACCGGCTGCCACAGCGATATATACGTAGATGGTAAATATGTACACGGGGTATCCCTACGCGTATCATTATCGCGCTTCCCTTCGGCTGCAGATTCTTTGAAGGATTCCGACTGAGTCAACTTTCCTTTAGCGCGAGAGATTGAAAAGGAGGTATAATTACGGAGTTAGTTAACATTGGAATTAAAGGATTTCGCCGTACCAAGGCTCAGCGGCGCACGTAGGAACTTTGTTCCCGGATAATTTTAAGGGCGAACTTCGCCCGGCGGAGAAATAATTTCAAGCTTAATTAACGGAATACTTAACTTTTAATATTAAATATCTGGACGATTAAATCTGATAATTAGGGGAGATTAAAGTTCTTTCGGCATTAACTGATAAACAAAATTGCGCTTCCAAACTCGTGACTGTTGATACAGCATCGTTTTTTGTTGTTGTTGAGAAACAAATTTAATTTAGGTTGGTTGACGAAACTTTAAATGAAATAACGGGATATCTCAAACTTGTGGATACATCTACACGAAAATGTAGCCGCGCAGGGTCCCTTAATACCGAACTTGTGTTTCACACGATCGCTGTTGTAAATAATTATGTATATTTCATTGATTATATATATATCCTTCCCGTCCTAATTCTTCCGAATAGCTTCTTTCGCTATCACTGCTATCAGCGTGAATACATATATATATCGCTTCCATGCATTTCCCGTTAAAAGAAAAGGGGATTGCCACACACAATCGTACTTCGTATCTGTAAATAAATATATATTCACGGCATATATACATAATATACATAATAATATAACTTAACGAACGTCGCGTACTTCCAAGATCAATAAAAAATGTAAGATACTAAAGCGACTCTTGACTTTTTAATCTTAAGTATATATATAGCGAGTAACCAATCAATGTTAATATTCGTGTGTCCAGTAATATGAAAATTTATACTCGAGAAGCGAAATTGTGGTGCAGATAGGATAAGAGCGCGCTGTACATTGAACGAACATTTACATCCTTGTCATATATAAATACGATGCGTTAATGCGAATATTTTGTCCGACAAGAGCAATTTTGGATAACGAGAAATAATCCCCAGCGTCAGTTCGGCATCCGCTACTTTCAAATTACAATAATTTTGCCGTAAGATTTGAAATGGCGTTTGCGCCGAATCGCGCAAGGTGTATATTGAAGATGTTATATACTTGGAATAAAATATCCTGTTAAAAAATAAGCAGAATTGAAAGTAGAAACTTAAAGAGAGATGAAGACACCGGTCAGTTTTTTAAACATTCTTTTAAAATCCTCCCTTTCATGTAATTCAAAATATCCGAAATATTCTGTGAAATATTTAGTAAGGAAAAAATATCGAAAAATGCGTATTTTAGGTATATTTGTCTTCAAAATGTTGATCTGAAATTTCCTCTGCTCTATATTTTGCAAATGTAAAATAATTATATATACATATGTTAAGAATGCGATAACAGTAATTATATAAAAATGAGTTTTTTTAATAAAAGTAACGGGATATATCCGTCAATTTATATTTGTGTAACAAAACCTAACTTTTTACATCTCTTTACACATTATTGATTTAAAAAATGTCCCGTATACATTATTCCGTTTTACGCTTTTTCAACCCTTGTCGAACTTTCCTTTTTATTTCAGCAATGTCCACGTCAGTCTTCGTAGTCTCACTTTCAACAGGTTTCTCCTCAGGTGGTACGAATGCCTGCGCCCTACGCTCCTGCCTCTTCTTGGTTGCCTCCTCGTGTCTCGCTTCCTGTTCCCTCTTTCTCTTCGCCCTCTTTTGCTCCTCCTTCAGGAAGTATTCACCAGATGCCATTGCCTTGTCGAGCTTGCTCTCTTGCTGAGGTGGCGGGAACGGAGTGTACGGTTTCTTCTCCTTCTTCTTCTTCGGTTCTTTGCGCTTACTTATGTTCTTGCTGCTATACTTGGGAAGATACCGTTCCCAGTTCTCGTTCTTTAAATTTGGATTCTTGGCGAGTTCTCGTTTAAGCATCAAGGTCTTGAGGCTGTAAACTGGATGAATATTTTTCATGGTATCCACCACCAGTTTTCTCACCTGTTGCACACCTCTGTAAGGTCCCAGTGCCGATACAGTTTGGCCCTGAACTACGACGTAACAGTTGGTGAGCAGCTCGATGGATTTCAAATTACACCCGTTTGGTCCAATGAGCCTCTGCCTCCGCTTGACAAACTTATCCTTGTTCCTGACAAAAGAGGATATCTTTATGACGTCCGCGGTAATGTCATCCTGGAGAACTCTCACCGCTTGCTCAAACGGAACCGAACGAGCCATGAGCTTGATCATGTCGCGTGCTTTGATGATGATGTACGGGTCCCAAGTCTTTCGGGTAGTCTTCACCGTCATGCTTCCCTCCATGAGATCCATCTCGGCCTTGACGTGATGCTCGGCCAGCGCTTTCTGAACTAGCGGCCAATGTTCCTTCAAATAATGCTCGCGATACTTCGGGAACATAGTAGCAAACGAGCTCTCCTCAAGCAGGCGATGTGGATTATCTTCTTCTTTAAATTCTGGTATCTTCAACGACCACGCATTGTCGACCGGCCCGGTTTTCTGTGCCTTCGCGCTTTTCTTCGAGCCACCCATTCTCGTGCGATTCAGAATGATAAGTCCAATGTATGATAAACGTGTACGCGTTCGGCCTCGCAGGTGAATATAGGTTATGTTGCAGGAATTTCAAACTTCCGGAAGGAAAATGATCTTCAGCGCCATCGTTGATCTGAACCTGGAACTTGGAAGCAAAGAGAAGCTTGGGTCCGTATTCCGTTCCTACCTAATATCAACAAATGATACAGTACCATCTTTTGTCAAAGTAGATTTAAATTACTATCAATCAGTCAATGAAATGTTTTATTAACTTCTGTTCATCATTATATCATCAGTTGTCATGTTGACGACAATAGTAATTAATACTCTGGTGGAAAAATGTCTCAGAATTGTTCATATTATTAATTAGAATTTCTATAAAAATTTTTAGACTTTCTCAGAATGCTCAGAATTTTTCAAATTTTTAAATAAATTTATAACAAATTGAATCATCTTTTTAGAAAAACTCAGACAAAATAATAATATTATTTCAGATTCTTCCAACACGACTTTATAGAAATCTGAATAAGTATAAGCTAGAAAATCTGTGCAACTTTAATTGTCATAAATTTTCTCATTTAATTATTTTTGAAAGTATATCCGAGAAACTTTATTTTTTTTTTCCAGAATTTTTTATAAGTCAATTCTTACAAAATTTCTGGAAAAAATATGAGAAATTTTTTCACTAAGGTAAATGTGTGTGATGGTATTTTTATCCACTTTTATCGCTAAAACGTAACTTATTTCATAATTTTTTATTTTAGAATACTCTTCATATTTTAGATTAAGAGTGAGTGGCGCATATGAATTATGGCCCCAAACACTTTTTGTAACTGTATTTACGTTTAGGGTTGGTTTTACGTACGCCACTCTGCATTTCATAAAGCAGCTTACTTTTATTTCGTCCACGCAACGTTATTACTTACCCTTAAACCAAATAGCATTTTCTTTAAGTAATTTTTGCTATAATTCATGAAACTAAAAAATCAATTCAATAAAATATAATATAGGATTAAAAATATAGCCAATTTTTTCCACGCATTCAAGTCACATAGAAAGTATCGGAACAGCTAGGATTATCTATGACCCAGTTTATTATACAATTACAATATCCTTTACTAATCATACTGTGATAAATAATAATTGTAATAATCGTAGTATATCTAGATAACACGAACTATTTATGATTGATATGATTTTATTTATACACCATTCAACATTCTCACTTACTCACTTTCTCCCTCTCGTACGCTCTACCTTTCTCTCTTTCCCTTTCAATCCCACAAAAATCGCCCTGTCATCAAAAGATGCGAGGCGACAGCTGCAGACACACGCATTAGCAGGAAATTTGTCTAATTATTACAGTCCGCCGACGGAAAAAATTCGCGAATCGCGACACCGTCGTTCATGATCGCTCGATAATTCTTAGTACAAAATAGTTAAACGATTTATCGTTCTCGTTTGAACGGGGGTTTCCGATCGTCGCGACGTTTTAAGAACTGTCATACCGTGCTCTTCGCGTATTACCCTTACACGATTATGTTATGCGCCTCGTGATAACGTATTACACATCGAACGTTAATAAAACCTATGGTAATCCTATAATTTTCCACGAAGACGTCAAGAAATTGGGTACTCCAAATTAAAACGCAAGATGCCAAAAATTCAGACAATCCATGATTTTCTACTATCCAATTTAACAAACGAAATTTTTGATTAATCTTTGATCAAAGTACAAACATTTTGGTATAATTAAATACCCCAAGTAACAAACTGATGTTACTTGTCATCTTTTTGATGTTACTTTTTGTCAAAATAACAATAAATAACGTTAGCTTGTTTTCTGGGACTTTACACACAATATAGTTGATTGTATAATTATTAAAGAAAGATTAAAGCCCGGTGTCCACGATGCAAGAACTGTGTCCAAGTTTCGGTTTAACCCAATCAACTTGCAGCTCTTACAGAAAAGTAGCAGTTTCATTGGCTTAAACCGAAACTTGGACACAGTTCTTGCATCGTGGACATCGGGCTTAAAAGTACTTTTTTTTTATGTTTCTTAAGATTAATGTTTTAGTTCAAATTTTCGAAATTTGGCATCAGTTACGGTCATAATTTAAAGTGTCCAATCGCGCGTCTTGCGTCGAAAGTATAAATTCTTCTACAAGTAGTCGACTAATTGGTATACCCAGAGCTTTGTAGCTTCGTTTTCTCCTAATTACTGAACATCTAGAATCACCTTAAGCCAATTATGACGCAGATGGAAATAAAAAGCAAGACATCGTATCATTTTTGGTCTAAACTGAATGTGTGTACTTCGTAAAAAATTACTCTGTATAGAGTTAATTTAGTATTATGTTGTTTGGATAATTCACAAACTGACGAAATAAATTCCACCCATTTACATATTTATAATTTTATGATTGTTGACATTGTCGAAAATGTTTGAATATTAATTTAGAATCAAGAATTTGCTTCATCACATGTCCTGTATTTTTAATCCTGCTTCTTATCCCGTCTAATCATAAATTGGCTCTAACGCACGTATATATGGTGAATCGAGTATTATTTATTCACTACTAGATTGTATATACAGATATAATATATACACACACAGATGAAAATGACAGGACGGTAGGAGAAAAATACATTTCTCTAACGCGACATCACAATTGTAACAATAAAAAAAGGAACAATTCTCAAAACTGAGATATATAAATTTGCCATCAAACGTGTAATCCATAATATCTCTCAATATAATTTTCTTTCTACAGGAATACGAACTAAAATTGTAACTTGAAAGGAATGGGGGAGTGAGGAACTACAGAAAATCAAACAAAAAGAAAATGCCGCTGTAACTGAAAGCTCTCTAGCACTTTTATTCTCAAATAATAAAAGTTAAAATATAATGAAATAATAATAACTAATAATAATTATTGATGGATGTAACTAATACAATAAAATGTCTATCCATTTTGCGCATTATGCCTATCAAACGCATTACAACATATCGAACGAGTAATCAGCCGACGATGATGCCGTAGCGAGGAGAGGAGTGGGGGATCGTATTCTCTATGTCATTATCGTATTAATTGTCTATAAACTGTTGACGAAAATAAAAAATCGATAACCTTCTCCCCGCCTTTATGATTCTCTTTTTGCTTAACTGTCTCCTCTCTCCAATTTCTTTCTGAGCTATCGTATTCTCTACCTCCCTGTCCTCTTTTCACTCATCGTCGTCCGCGCACCTGCCAACGGATGTGCGGCCTTAGGAACTCTTTTTTTTATTCGCGTTTCTCCTTTTATCTTAGTATAATTCGCCCCTGTCCGTGCACGTGTTTTTGTCGACAATGTGTTTTCGCTACAGCTTGGTCCACGACTCTGGGAGTTCAGGTTTAAGGATAGAAATGAGATGAAGTATGAAATGAGACGAAAGGAGGGCTGTCGGATGTTGCTCGTGCGTGATCTAACAGTTCGACTCAACTCAACGTTGTAAAGGAATTTTCTAACGCGTTTGTATTAACCTTCCGTGATCGAGCTTGTCGAAATAACAATTTAGAAGGAAACTATGTATTTTAAAGTTTGCCTTATCAAAATACCGTTGTTACGTTTCGAATTATTTTGTAGCGCAACGCAACAGTACGGTGGCAACGTGCAAAATGATGGAATCATGTGATGACAGCATACACGCGCTTCCCTCGTGTAATTACATACAGTTATAGAAAAGTAAAACACTGTCAGATACAAAGTCGCATGGTAATTTACACGACAAGCGACATTAACAACAGTAGCATGTGTATTGTGACTACATCGTGATCGCAATAATATGATAATAATGATGACATGGTGATAATGATGATGATAATAGTACACGTCGCTAAGTTCTTAATTATATATCCGCGATCTCCTATTAGATCCTACTATATACAACGTCCGTTTATACATTTATGTATATGTATATATGCATATGGTATACGCAGATGCACGTAAAGATTTTGTATATACTATGATGCACAGTCGATAACTTACATGATATTACAATAAGATCACCGTATATATATATTTATATGTATACATTTTTACGCAAGTTCTTCACGTGAATAATGGAATCTATACACACGCATGAGTTTTAGGAATAAGTAATGTGGTTGGTATATCACGTTTCCTGGCCTATAATCTAAAATCATAGCCCTTAATTAATCACCGAAAGTGTTCGCGGGAAACGGATCGATCGTAGCGAGCGCAAATCGAGAGTCACAGCGGAGTGCGAAAAGTTCTATCTAATATATACCGAAAGGGAGTATGTACAAAAAAATATATATATATTAAAATATATTAAAACACTCGCATTAAAAAATATGTGACGTATCCTGCTGTGTATTTCAACGAAAAAAATACAACATAAAATCTCGGAAACGTCCGAATCTCCACTGCGTTCATCTCGATGTACGAGTGCACGCACGCTTATATATAACTCGCCACTTAATGTATGTGATCATATATACATTACGTATTACCTAGGTACCGCGTTATCTACAGTATTACTAGCTACCGCTAATTAACCGCTCATGACTGTCGAAAATCTTTTCATCAAGGATGCAAGTACTCAACATTGCTACACGCGCGGAAGATCGGTACCGCACGCGAACATATCTTGCGTCGCATCCTCGGTAATATTCGGTGGCCTTAAATCGTATAATATATACAGCCCTGTGACACAGATATGTACGATACGATGACAGACACGCCTACGTATATATATTTATATATGTACAATTGTATTGTCGGATCTCGCTATTTTATCATTGAGACGCCACAACTCAGTTTGTCACGGGGAAGCAAAGGCGCCATCGAATAAATAAAAAATTATTAACAAGAAAAGAAAAAAAACGAGTAAAGTAATTTTTCTACATGATTTATTGCGCTCTGAATCGTTTAGACATCTATGTCAATGAATAGCTTTTAATGAAGTTACAGTAATCGATAACTCGTTCGTTGATAATAATTTTCGGTATCGATAATCAAATTGATTAATGAACCCGTTAAATATAATAAGTCATAAGCATTTTCTCGCGATGACTAATTTCCGTAAATTAATGCGAGCAAATATAGCAAAAAAAAAAAAGAACAGCCGATAATTGAAAGTCATCAATTTATCACCTTTTGAAACGTAATTGAAATATATCAGAAATAATCCTGTAAATATTATATAAAATTATACATTCGGTATTTATGAGAAAGAATGTTCATATAAATATGTTTATATAAATATTCATATAAATGTGTAAAACACAATTTGACATATTTTTATAAACACCAATCACGTTGCAATTAAGAATCGTCAAACTTTTCCTATTATTGCCAACGTATGATCTATAAGCATTAAAGTCAGTCCGTTCTGTTTGCGGATAAATGTAATTTTTGTTTATCATTGAATGGTTTCCAAATGAGAAAGAAAACCGATATATTTCAACATGTTTCATCTTATACGCTCTTTGAAGCATATAACATTACATAGCATTAAAACTAGTCCGTTTAAAAAAATTGTCCTAATATTAATAATAATCTCTCACAATTGCCTCATATACAGATAAAAGAATCTTATAACGAATTTGTGCGCAGTTGGATATATTAATTTGCACTATTACAAATTAAAAAGTATGTTATATATTATTTTTTTCGATGCGTAAGCGTAATAAACATAAACGCATTCAATTGATGAAATGTGCAACATACGACATACTAAAAAATATGTAACAACTTATGCTGAACATTTAACCGTTTATGTATGTACTATGCTTAATGTCTTTAATTAATTTTTATACAACAGTCTTTAATATGCACTAGTGCACGCTAATGCATTCAACCGAATTAGTTATTAGTTCTCCGTATACTTAAAAGTGCACATTAATATTCATGCTATAATACGCAGCGTGTCTTCGTATACCCTTTAAATGTTTATAACAACTGCGGATGATTTAATGATCAACATGGATTTAGATTTGTCACATTCATAATATATCATTTCATTTACACTTTCTCGTTCAATCACTCGTCAATTAGTTATCTATAAAATTGATTAGTCGACTGTCTTCTTTTGGATTCTCTTTGTGATCTCTTCGTGAATTCCTTATTTCTTACACGCTACTATCGAATTCCATTTGATAGCATCATCAATGATGCTGGTTGCTAGATGCAACGAGTTAACTTGTCTATTCTTGATTTTCTTTTCACAGTCAAAATATTAAAATATAAACTGGAAATTGAAGGGGAAATCAAGAATGGATAAATTAACTCAATGCTGATAAATAAAGAATATAAAAGTTCGTTTGTAGATCATCGAGATCCAATGTACTCCGAATGTTACCTTGGTTAATAGCGTCAAAAAAAATCAAATCATCGGCTAATGATAGAATTCCGGTAGATTGCACAAGCGTCGTGCTTGTTGCTGATGATGGTGCTGCTGTTGTTGGTGCGATTGCTGATGATGCTGATGATAGAGAGTGTCCCCTTGATGGGTCACTTGCTGGTGTCACTCGTGGGACTTGTTGTTTAGTGGATGATAATTGCCTGACGAAGTTACTAAAGCGAGAGGTATGGACGCTGGATGAGGATGCGAGTGGCCCGCATTGGAGGAATGCGTCGTAAGCGCTAGAGGACTACCAGAAATGGAATTGGCGAGGGAAGCGAACACCGAAGGTGCAGGCGACGCCATGGTTGGACTGCCCATCGCAGCCGTTGGTGGATTGATCCTTTTTTCTTTTTGCCTCCTGAAACACAATTATATTTTGCTTAAAGAGAACAAAAATTTTGATACAAAATCCTCAATCTATCGTTATGATAAATAAAAAAGGGGAAAAAATATAATTTTTTCCATAATTATATGTATATCTTAACGTTTTAATATCTACCTGTTACAAAACCACACACGAACCACTTCTTTCTCCATCGCAAGGCTATCTGCCAGTATGGTTATCTCCTCGGACGTGGGCTTTGGGTTTTGAATAAAAGCTTTTTCGAGGGCCACTCTCACGCTGGTCTCTATCGACGTTCTCTTCTTCCGCCGCCTGCCAATCGCTTCCGGTGTCGTAAGTGGATTCGACAGAGAGTTAGGATTGTTCAATGAATTATCGGCATCCTCGAGCCACTTTTGTAACAGCGGTTTCAGTTTGCACATGTTTTTGAAGGAAAGATTCAGTGCCTCGAACCTGGAATGCAGAATCATCGATTTTGTTTAACTTAAAGCCAGTAGCTGTTATTTGATTAAATTATAAATAATGTAAATAAACTTTTTTTTGTCTTATCTCATTTTTATTATAGAAAAAAGATTCAAGCAATGTATAAGCTTAAAAGTCCATAAAAGAAAATAAATAAAAAATTCAGAATAATATCAAGACGTCTTCCAAACATTTTTACAACGGTTGCGCTACCTGAGAATTATACTTACTTTATCACAATTCAAACAAAGAATATATTTACCTGGAAATCGTGGTTTGGGAAAAATCGTTGCCATAAAGTTTGCCCATAGCGAGTCCGACGTCGCCTTGAGTAAAACCAAGCTTGATCCGTCTTTGTTTGAACGTTTTGGCGAATTGTTCTAGCTCTTCGAGGTCCGTTGTTTCCTCCGGTGAAGGTTCTAATCTTGTCGGTTTTACTGCTGGTGGTGTGCTAGGTGGTGGTGATGATCTCTGCGCCAAATTTCGTCCAACTAAATTGCCGCTACTCTGAAGAGCCTGCTGTTTCTGTAGTAATTGCGCTGCCGCTTGCACCTAATAATTTTCATTTTTTCTTAAATAAATTACAAATTGTTCGAAAACACACACAGGATTAAGATAATTATATAAAATAATCACAATCGACCGCAATAAAGATTCTTAAACATGCAAATTAAAGTTGTATCGAGACGTTTAGACATGTCTTGGATATAATATACTTTTATCACTTTGAAAGAAATTTTATCTGAAATTATTACAAAACAATTTTCATGCATGCTTCCATTCGGAAATAAATTTCGCAATCGCTAATATCTGGATACAACTCTGTCCTAAATCGTACCTGCATGGACTGTGAGCGCGGATGACTCGGTCTTGTCGGGTAGCCACCGCTCTGCAACAGCCCCTGCAAGACGTTGACGACCATTGGTGAAAATCAACATAATGGTCATCTGCGCTTTATCTCTATTTGTAATAGAAATTCGTTTTTTTGCGGTGTTTTTAAAACGCGTTTTCAAAACGGAACTCAGTTTTATAATTGATTTATCATTCCTCTACAATCTTACATGTAAAATCTTTATAAACGAGCATAATATGATTCAAAAATACAATTTATGCACATTCACTTATATGTAATTTTGCATCCGTCAATCTCGAAGATAAATGTCTCGGTATTTTTAGGGAACGCGCGACACGTGTCGAGCTCGTGCGCGTACAGGTACGAAAAGTATAATTCCAAGGGTTGTAAATCTGTCCGATCGATTATTTTCATCTATTCCTTAGCCACGATGCTCGATTATGAGGATGAAGGGTTCGCGTCACGGGCACGGTGTTCCCGGTCGGGAAAGGGTTCGGGGTTGGTCGCGTGTCGCCGGCATACGAGCAGCTAGTTTATGCGCTTTGTGGCCGCGAAGACACCCTACGGAAACGCCTCGAGTTGAGCCACGTGCGGGATCAACCGCGACAGGTTAACGTCTACAATTTAGAGACACTCTGTTTAACTTCAAGCAGAACTAATCTGATGGTATTTAAGAAACAGAACAACGATTTAATAATATTTACAGAAATGCTTAATAACACAAGCATTTTCCTGTATGAAAAAGTAGTAAGAAAGAAATAATTGATGAACAAATCAGTGCGTACATTAATTTTTAACATTTATGAAACTTAGTCAATAAATATAAACGTATAAAGGTATTTTGTGACTTGCGTATGTGTGTATCTATAGTGTAAATTTCATTTTTCCGATTGCACAATTTACTCAAAAAATTCCTTTAAAAATAGTGGTATTATTCCATATTAAAATTTTTCACTCTGTATTAAAATATTTCACAATTTTACAGTGATTAAAATCAAGACGTAAAGGATTCACGAAGAGTGATCTCTGAATGAAGAAATTAAACCTCTGTTGCGGCAGATAAGCCACACAAAAGTCCTCACGTGGCGCACACGCGTAACCGCCCGCGAAGGGGTTGAAAGGGTCAGGTTGTACTCGGCAAAGCGATTTCCCGAGTGAAGAAGGTCGTGTGCCTGTCTTAATGCTCCGCGCGAAAAAAAAAAGAAAGACGAACAGATGAGGACGATCCTCCCTTAGAAGAAGAAGGAGCGCGTTGAAAAGAGGAAACATCCTGGCCACGTGTGAGGTAACAAAAGGCACCCCGGGGCAAGGTGCCGAAGGGCCCTATAAGCCCACCTTGTGGCATCGCGCGGTACCTTCCGATAGAGAGACGGGGGATATCTAGGGCCCTATAACGCGCAAATACACGCGTGTACGTGTGCATGCACAATAAATGTATAATACACACGGCGGAGCACGGCTGCCCATTAAGCGTGCTAAAGCTCGAAGTCGTTTTGTTGATTTTTCCCGGAGACTATAGTTGCACGCGCACGTCGTGACGGATTCTATAGACAGTTTTTTTTTTATTCGTAAATGCAAAGCCCGGTCCATTCAGATCGCTCGCGAGAAGGGCCGAAGGAGGGGGAGAGGGAGCGCATCCAGGAAGCGGGATCGTTTTTCAACGTATCCCCGGATATCGTGGATCGATTCCTCCACCTTCTGCCGATCCGAGAGAGATCCGACGAACAAATAGTGAGAAAATCGTGGAACGCTTCTTTCATCGGAGGAATGCGTGCTGCGAGAGACGACTGATAAATATGTCGCTTCTTTTTTCGGCGATCGTCAAGCGCGGGTTTTAAACCATGCTCGAAACGTGATATTTATCGAGGAAAATCAGGAAATCTCTTTGTACGCCTCTCCTTTTTCCGGGGGATGTCTTCAATTATTATCCGTTTTATACGCGTTTTCTGTATTGCTATATTATTATGATTATAATCAGATGTGTTTTAAAATTCGGATTTTTTTAGTGATAACTTTTTTCATTTTTGCGCAACCGAATTAACAACCAAGATTTTTTTAGCTTATTATTTTTGCGATAAATTACATTGCATCTCACTTTTTCCCGTCATCGACGCGAAACAATATAAGAATGCATAATAAGACTAAAATAAACAGGCAACTTTTATCGGAGAATATTTTGTCGAGATCATTTCGATGACTACTTCTTTGAAAAGACTTTAATGCGACGTAATGGAGCGCGAAATTCAGCCGTGATGCGGTTGCAAGTTGGCGCTGTTCGCGCGCGCATTTGCATCGACGAGGGCAAGCCTAAACGAGAAGGTAGCATCCGATTTCCTTTGTGCCGTTGCCAGACGGCTATCTTGACGTCGAATCGCGAAGACGCTGTACGCGAAGAATAAGACGTTCGCTCTCGCCTGATCTGCGCCCTGATCAGATAGTACGGCCGAACATTGCGGGCTTCGATCGGCTTCGATCCCTCCGACGGAATCGCAACGGCACGGAATGCAATTTGTGATTTAAATAGATAAGTAATTCGGCAGATAGTCATCGACGGAACATGGATCTCGTAAATATTATTTTTAATGGACCCCGATCTTAGCTCACAGTGAAACATTGTTGATTACCCGTGCACCCACCTGATTTTGTAGGAAGAACGGCGGAATCTGTCCCGCCGCCGGATTGGCCTGAAACATGGCGAATTGCTGTAGCTGCTGCTGTAGTGATTGCAGTTGATGTTGCTGCAGCGTCGAGGCGATCGCTTGGATATCCTGGGTCCCTAATGCACCGTGCATCAGCAATTGCTGGCTGAGCAATTGAGCGGTCGCCAGCGCGGCCTGCGAATTGCTATTGTTTTGTTGGCCGGACGTGTGTTGCTGCTGGTGACTGCCCGTGAGCTGGCTGCTGATGCCGGAACTCGGCGAGGACGCGCTGCCGCTGGTGCCGCTGCTGCTGTTGCGTTGCGAGACATCCGTGACCTGAAGTAACGTTGAATTTACATTACATAATTGATTTTTATTAACAAATCAAGCTCAAATTTATTTAAAAATTGTGATAAATATATAATCGGCAGTATATATTTCGAGATTTATATTTATCTGCTCAAGAAGATGTCTTCTAATTATAAGAGTTAATATCACGAGCCGTCACTACGATCAGTAAAAGCGCTATAAAAACTTTTAGCGTTTCCTACGACTGAATAGTTTATCGTTTGATACTATCAAGTGACAATCTTTGATTCCCTCGAAATGCGGGCTACGACATTTCACGCTGTAACGTGGGACCGGGAACACGAAGAATCAGCCGGGCCGCGCGCGAGGCGAGGCGGGCCACCCTCCCTAATATTACAGAGTAAATTCGCCCGTCGAACAAAGCCGTGTTTACACTCGGCCAGGTCAGGATATTGGTCACTACGGTCCATCCTGCGCTTTTGTGTTTTATAAAACCTACTCTCCCTACCGTCGTCCCTTCTTGTCGTTCATCTCGCTAGTGGCTTCCTTTATTTATTTGTCAAATATTGATCGCGAGCGCTTTTTACGCCCGTCAAGAGCGTCCTGTAGTACGAAAAAAATCGAAGACACGGTCGCGCCGCGTTCCTGAACCATTCCTCTCGAAAGAAAGCACGCTGGGATATTACGCTCGCAAATGGGATTGGTAACGTTGTTGATACATTTAAGCAACGCACACAGGCAACAGATAACAATGGATGACATGACAAAGCACGCTTTCGTCAAAATAAGTAGAGAAAATACCATTGAAGTTAAGTTATTGAAGAAAATCGTCTTTTGTAAACGTTATTGACGAGTTAAGTACGAAGACACATTTAATTATTAATAATAACAACACAAACAAAAACAAGATTAATTAATTAAAAAAGATTCCCATAAAAACATTATATATAGATACTGTTTCCAAGAACGATTAAAAATAAATAAACAATAATTTAATTATTTATTTGATTTTTATGTATTTAACACAATATTTTTATTTATAAGAGAAATATTTAGTACAATCCTTTTATTTCTATATACAGATTATTTTATTTAAAAAGATATCTGATAAACTTTGTATTTATAACGTTTTTATGTCAAATTAAATAACGAGCTGAAGAAGCAACACGTTGTTTCTATATTTTTCAATGGCGATAATAATAATCTATTGTTAAGACTGTAAAAATGTTTGCCTTTCGTTATTAATTTCGAGAACATTATATTATATCGTCGATGTTAATAGAATCGTTGACACACGAAGACCAAGAAGAGCAACTAATTTCGCGCGTATTATACAACAAGCATCTGTAGCTTCGTGCACGCAAGATGCCGTGCAAATTATTTGAATTATACTCGTATATTTTGCTCGCGGCACTAATTGTAAAAGCCGCGCCTCTTTTCAGCACTCTCCATGCGCCTCCCGATAATTATTAAACGCTGGTGATACGCGACAAAGATTCGATCAATATCTATTTGTCTTCTAATCGCAAATTACAAAGTATTGAACAGTGTATATTATTTTACACAATTTATAAAATTAAATAAAATTACACAGGTATAAGAGAAATTCGCATAAGATTGTTAATAAAATGATTCAACTTCAATATCAATCAGAAAGAAGAATTATAATCGTAAATATAGATGAAAGGAATAAGTCAAAACAGATACGAGATCAAAATTTATTTACCAGATTAAGAGCTTCCCTGTCCGAGTCCATGGAGTCATTATCAAGATGTGGCTCGGTGACATCTTGGATGTCACTTGCAATACTCCTATCATCTCCGCTAAGTTCAGGACCATCAACGTCGCCGTGCAAATCTGCATCTGCAACAAAAAAAAACCTCGATTTAAATGTCTGTTCGATCTAAATTTTTTATGCTTGATAAATCTTCAAAGTCAAATCTATGACATCTTTGCGTTTATTATACAAACTCAAGACGCAACGTAACATTGAAAGCTGTAAAACTCTCAGAGATATAAGTTTAAAATACATATTTTTAGACTTCGTATCAAACTTATTATCAAGTTTATCAGAAAAGAATTTCGCAGTTGCCGTACAATCGTTGTTATTCTGCGCTCTATACTTCTGATGATGATGGTATCGCGTGGGGGTGCTGGTAGGCGTGCTGGTGGCATGAAGACGCATGTCCGCGAAGATCATCCTGGATTCTTCCAGGAAGACCATCATAGCTTCGTCTGTTCCGTTCGTCGTCCCTACATTGGGACGCTTCTCGTGGTCCAGCACGGTGATCGATTTCTCACGCGAATGTAAAAAGGATCGCGCTCGGCGATCCCACGTCGATCTATCGATCGGCGCGATCCCATCGCGCTTCGCAAGACATGAGACGGAAAAAGCTGTGCACTCCGAGAAAAAACGCGACGTTTCACCTTTCTGCGCGCGATATCAACTATAGCGATCGAATGCGAAAATAGTTAAGCTTGCGAGAATTTAAGCCGTTTAAGTTTAATTATCGCTCATTAACACCTCATGAATATTTATGCGAATAATTATCTCAATTAATCCCCGCGAGTCCGAGGGCCTATCAAAACAGCGGTTCCGAAGAAACGAGTTTGCCGGAGATAGTCCCGAGTCCTGCAGCGCCGGTCTTAGTCGACGAACTGATACAGAGCGAGTGTCAGAATGACGCAACGAAACTGTGCCCCTAAGGGCGCACGAACCTTCCCCACCACTATACATGGCCCTGCTGGGCCCGAGGATTGGTCGGGCGCATCGGTTACGTCAGGCCGATTGGTCGAGGAGAACCCTTTTGCCCTTTCGGCGTGCCCTCTCTCTCTCCCTACCCGATAGCAGCAACCCTTCGCGCGAGCATCCATCATCGTATCTTATGACTACTCTCTCCCTCGCCACCCCTTTACCGAGAGCCTCCTTCGTCTCGCTCGCGCCGGGGTCGTTGGATAATGGCACGGAACCGATTCGCTGATTCGGAGAACACGGACTTGCGCGCTGCGATTGGCTCGCGCGATTTTTAATAATTATTTCGATACGCCGATACACTATTTTGAAGGGGGATTTATAGCACTCAACGTATGTCGCGCTCGGGGCCGCTGTCGCAGCAATAAGACTGCATGTACGTTATCGGAGTCAACGAACCTTAAGATTTCGTCTTTCATACGCACTTTTTGCACATAAATTGATCGCAACAAAATTGTGCAAGTTGTTTTAAATACATTTGATGTAAATATAGTTTAAATAAGTTATGTGCAAATATATTGGAAAGGAAATCTTCATACACATTGTCGAATTATTGGAAAAAAGCTAAAAATCTTTTATAAACATTTTTCAATTTATATAATGTCTAACAGGTAACGTAGTTTGTTATTTATAGTATTTATATATATTATATAAATAATGCATACGTTATTTTGTATCAAACATGAATATAAAAATTATATTTACGTTTGTACAATTTGTAAATGTGCAATTATGTTTATATTGATAAACTTAATAAATTTTATTTATCAATTATATTACGGATCTTAACATCTTCACCGTCGTTCTAACAATATTATCTACACGCTTCTTTGTAGACCTCTTAACCCTAGAATCCATGATACATTTTTTTGACCTTCTAATCCATGACTGGGGGCAATATCGACCCCACGCTTTATTTGATCGTAAAACCGGTCCTACAGAAATAAAGGGCCTTTAAACCTACATGAATTTCTTCGTTTTTTAATAACGAAGAGAATGGTATACGGTAAATTTAATTTTACTCAAGTTTAGTTAGTGAAAAATCCATTTAAAGACTGAAAAACGCAGAAAATCAGCAAAAACCTCTTTTTTTAAACAAAAATTTGTATCTTTTTTTGTAATCAACCGATTTTAAAATTTCAAACGGGGTTTTAAAGAGGACACATTAGACTATTAGAAAAAAATTGTCATCGCTATGTTCTGTTCAAAAAGTATATTTATTTGGGACTATAAAGATGAAGAAATTCGCAAAGTTGAAATACGGAAAAAGTCGATGAAAAAACCATAAAAAATTGTATTTTAAGTATTATTTCATTTTTATTTGATACAAAATAGTAAAAAATATGAAAAAAATGAAACATTATATCGCCCAGCCATTTTCTGCGAAATGTCAATCTTCTTAGGCAACGGGATTTTTACCGACTAAATTGTGTGATATTTCGTCTTAAATAATATTTATGACTATTTATGCTCAGATTACGTAATAATACATGATATATATTGATTCTAGCGAAAAAATAAAATTAGCTTACCGTGACGAAACTCAAACGGCAAGTCACGACTGGGGTCGATATCGACCCCACGCCCGCTTTACGACTGTGCTACTTCACTGCTAGCGAACAACTAACGCTGCGCCCGACATAACCCTACTTTTAGAAAGTTGAAATGAATTATGGTTCAGGTCCTGAGTCGATAATGTCACTCGCTAGCTCAGGAGCGTAGTTCAAAGTTCGCCTGGGGTCGAAATCGACCCCAGTCATGGATTCTAGGGTTAACTATCCTTCGCGCGCGTTTACGAGGTAAACGTAAAAACACGTAAACTAAAGCGAGCAATCAACCGCGACTAAAGACAAGGGAAAGAAGCTATTCTCTCGCATTCTTGTGGGAAAAGTCGAAAACCGCGGAAAGGTAATGTCGAGGGGGGAACGAGGGTCAGCGACGCCAAAAAGTAGAAGTCGCTTAGCCATTTGGAGCCGCTCCTCTCCGTGATGCTTTCCCATCGACTCCCGATTCCGGGATAAAAGCTGAGAAGAGAAACCGAAAATGGAGATAAACGCTCGCGGGAGCGTTTGTAAAAACGCTGTTCTGCCGCGGGCGCAGGTGGGGGAACGGAGATTCTCCGTCGAGGTGCTACCGGGGGGTAGCCGGCCGGGAACGATCGTTATAGGAAGAAGAGCGAAGGAATTCAAAATCCTGTGAATATCCTGCGAGAGCGCGGCATCGCTTTTCGGGGGCCCACGACCCGATTTTCGCTCCTTCCATCTGCGTTACCTGACGGGAGGATTCCCCTGAAATCGTAAAAAAAAGGGAGAAAAAAAGACGCAACAGGTCAGGTAGAATACCTCCAGGAAACTGGCGCGCACGCACGGCATTGGTGCGGATTCCCTATAAAATTTCGCTCCGCTCGGCACGTTCTACGCCCCACCCGGGTTTGTATATCTCGGGGCCCTCTTCTTTCCTTCGTTCGCGCGATCCATTACTCCCCGCGCTCCTCATCCGTCCTTTCCGAACGCGCAAGATGTTGCGGCAGGTACATACGGCGATTCACACACGGCTTTCCTTTTTCATCCACAAATTTGCATCGTCCCTCCCTTTTTTCGTCGAAAATTACGCTTTTTTTCCGTGAGAATCTACGGGCCCCTCCGCGACTCTTCGCAAACGGGAAAAACGGCGCGCTGGGAGTGAGGGGGGGGGGGGGAAATAGAAGAAGGGGTCCAAGATTTTTGGGGCGATTTCTGCCGGTTTTGATTTTACCCTTGCTCTCCTTTGTACGTTACGGTGAACGACGCGTTAAAGATGTGACGGTCCGTATTATACACCAGGTGCGACGTCTTTGATAACAGGAGGAAAACGGGTGATTCGGCGGATGAAAACTACCGCCGATTGGTTTTATTTTTTTGTAACGGACACACGCGTGCAAAATCGCACACAAACGCACACGTACTCGGAGACAGAAGAAGACGAAAGGGGAGGTAAATGCGACAGGAAGCGACGGTTTTTTCCGGTTTTTTTCCAGCTAGTACACGAGTAACTGACGCCTCGCTCTCGGCGAATCACAGGCGATAGTTTAAAAAAAAAGTCAACGGATAGTCGCGGATAGATTTTGTTAAGGGTATATAGACACGTCGCTCGTATCCACGAAAGAGAAAGAGGAAGAGCGAGACGTGGATGTGAACACTAACGGATTTTTAACGTACTTTCGTAAAGTTGCGCCATCGGTTGCGCTAGAAAGAGATAGATCTTCAGGTACTAAAGATTATTCTGTATAAAAGGATTTTGAAAAACTATTGTACTTTCAAAAGGGAATTATATGAATGTCGAAAACAATGCTATTCTCTCACAATCAGTAAGAATTCGATCCTTCTCTATCTTTCCTGCAAATATCTTTCACGTCATTCCTCCCGCGACTAAGAGAAATAAAGTATAACGACTTCGCTATTAGTTCCAAACTACCAGTAAATTCACACCTGCGACCCTACAATCGGAGCGGCCATTCTCGGATCGTCGATCCACCCGCCGATCTAGAGCCGGCGCGTCGATTCGATATCGAGAGCCGTATACGAGAAAGAATGTGTCGCTCATCTGGAAGATCGTTATCTCCCGATGGATCCTCGTCTCTTTGTGCCGCATCTGCATACACACCGGCGCACGCACACTCGCCCGCTCATCGCGCGGCGATCCATTGTGCCGTCGACGCGGTCACAATGCAGTCGCCCATGCAATTTCGAGCCATTCAAGTCCGTTTAGCGCTTTGCACGAGTGACACGGTAACCGTCTATCCATCACCCACGCACACTCGCACGTACGCGAGTCGAAAAACACCGTCCGCGTCGTCGAGAGAGTCGCACGAACGCAAGCGAGCGATGATACACACACGGTCGAGCGGGCGTCGGTGGGGAGGTGCAGCTGTGGGATGCAGCCCTCGTGTTATATACGTTCCGCTCCTACGAGAGGTCGAGGATGCTAGGCCACGGCGCGGCGGCGACCTTCGCCTTCGTCCCTCAAGAGAGCGACTACTCCTCGCGTGACCCACGGCGAAAACTACGTGGCCGACGACCCGAGCACGCGGCGAGCAGCTCCAGGACGTGCTCGCCCCGTGCGAGTCACGTCC